TATGGTTTCCCCTCCGTAAGTCTGTCTAGACCCCCAAATTGCATAATTATTAGCTAAAGGAAGAATAGGAAATCCTTGACTGGTGCCTGTGAGGAGATGTGAGGGGTCTAAAGGGCATGAAAATCCTAGAGAGGAACCATCAGAATCCAGAGCAGGAGCAAACTTTAAATGTCTAAATAAAAGTCTGTTAGATTTTCTTGATAAGGAATCCCAAGAGCATCCATCCATTTGGCCCCACTCTGTTTTCTTTTGGCCTCCAGAACTGTACTCAGAGTGATGAACTCAGAATTCATTTTCAGACACTTTAATTGCTCTTGGAGTGTCTAGAATCACAGTGTGAGTTCCCTCCAAATATCTTCAAAATGGAGAGAGAGAAAAAATTTAGCCATGATTGACTTTTAAAACATTGGTGGGCTTGTCTCTCTAGGCTGCTGGAAGGTATTGCAGTGTTGAACTGGGCCAAAATCTGAAGTATTACACCTGAGTAGCATTTTTCTATTAAAATTGTTAATGAGAAATAATTGTATATGAAATTAAGTGCAATGTTTAGGAAGTGCAAATACTTGAATGCCTAATGAAACATCAATTACTTTAATCTTGGCTATATATTTCTGTTGGGTGTTTAAGACCATGCAGTTGGCCAAAATTAACCAACTTCTTTTCCTGTCAATGTTAGTTGAGGATCTGGTCCTCAGAGGTCATTTGGGCTTGGGAAAAGTCTCTAACTCTGTTGATCTTCCTTTTACCAGTTGTGCCATGTAAACAAGAATAAGTCAAAGGCCTTACTTGACTGTGGCTTCTCTAGAAAGCATTGAAGAATCTATTTCTCTGAGTTGAGCCTTCTCTTTGTAAACAGGGCTGGTTTGAGTCCAGCTAGTGGGGTTTCCATGGCCTCCCTGAACAAGAGAGTAGGTTACTCATCACAGATAGGTCACATTTTGAGAGACACCCCATAATCCAATGGGACCTACTTGACTTTGGAGTGTAAGACAAAACATTGCACCTTTAAGAACCTCTGATCATATTAGTATATGCTTCAGAGTACAGTTATTATACATTCAAGAAGCTTAGTTACACCAGTAGTAGTACTTTTATTTGCTGTGATATGTGTAGATAAAGCTTGAGAAAAAATAAATGCTCTTAAATAAACCTTTATTAGACATACATTTGTTTCTTGTCAACCTTTAAAATTGTTAACAATAGGAAATCAATAGTCCCATAAATTTAAATAGATAATTGACAGAACTATGGCCTTAGAAATTTCAAGCATATCTATGTGTTATTTTTATCTCACCTTTCATATAGCATAACAAACCTACTCATACATTTATCACTTGCTTAAATATGTCACAATGTATAGCCCTTGAACATGTGCTCCCTGATAAATACATTTATCACATTTTCTCTTAGTTTTTACTAAGAATTTACTAGAATTAAGTGAATTTTACACTACCATGTCATTAGTATATTTTTATCGTGTCTTTCTATTTTTATTTTTATCAAAGAAATTTTAATTTTCCTATGTGATTAGTTGCCATTCACTCTTCTTTTCTTCTAACTTCTCTAACTCTTCTTTAGTATTTCTTATAAGAGCTATCTGCTGGTGGTGTTGCCCATCAGCTTTTGTTTATATGGGTCATCGTTAGCCCTTCATTTCTGAAATGATGGTTTTTATAGTTGTAGAATTATTAATTAGTATTTTCCCTGTCTGTTAGCTTTTTAATATGTCATTCTGTTCCTTTCTAACTTTGATATTTCTATTGTGTAAATTATTTTTACACACACTTTTATGTTACTATTTTCAATTCTCTCTTGATCTCTGACCGTTGACAACTTGATTATAATAAGCTGTGTTGTAAATTTCTTTGGCAGTTCCTTTTTTTGGGATTGGTTTTATGAATCTGAATTTTTATTTCCCTCCTAGGAACATACACTGGAGCTATGACATCTTCACATGCAGGAGGCATTCAGATTTCTTAGCAACACAGGTTCAGAGGGAGAAGAAGAATGGAAAACACAGTATATTCATATTCCAGGTACAGGGGATGTAATTGCCCCATTCAAATGTATGACTCTCAAAGAAGACTTTTCAGAATATCTGCTTCTAAGAAAGTACCTTTCAACCAAATGTGATAATTAATTCCTGTGAGGGATAATGCAGGTATAAGACCAGGTACCTGAATGTCAATGGAAACCTCTATTAAGAAAATCACTGCAGTAATTTTGTTGTAGTTCTCATATCCAGAGAAAGAATTGGCAGGATTGGAGTGGACACATTTGTACATTTTCCCTTCAACTTTCCATATTATGCCCTGAATGACCTATTTTTTAAATGATTATTTCAACATATTATATGTAGTGAATCTATTTTATATACTGTGAAAACATTTTTAGGCTTTAAGGGAGAATTAAAGAGTAACAGCTGTGAAATACACTTTCTTAACAATTTGGGTTTGATATAGAATTATTTCAGGAGTTTCTGCAAAGGCAGTAAGTCTTTCATACATAGAGAAAGTTTCTTTTTCTTAGAATATGTCTCATTGAAGACAGAATTGATCTAAACAGCAAGAGCCATCATGAAGATCATCTAAGAGTACTACGGTAAGTTTTTCAATAGTGCATATGATTAATCCAATATTGCTAGTTTCCATATGCAGGCATTACCTTTTATTATTTGTCAAATACAGCCTGAGTGTATTTTATCTGTACCCCGATTTTTCAAAAGGAAACTGTTAAGTATCTGAAATTCACAGAGGTGAAACAATTGATATAATCCACCTGTTGACCTCCAGATTTCATCACTTCATCATGAGAAGCCTCCTTTAATACACAGGATTAATAATAAGAATGAAACCAAAGTTTAGCTAGACCGCATAGACACAGACACAGAGAGACAGACATGCGTGCATGTATACACATTCTAAATATTAATATAATAAGACCGCCATAATAGAAAATTCAGTCTGGGCTCATGTGCAATGGACATTATACGTCTCTGTGGCTTTTTTGGAAGTAATACTAGCTGGAAAGGCTTTTTTCTGAATTTATAGCATGGCTAAACGTTTCTCCTTATAATTGCTCAATTTTTCAACTCTGTTTGTCAGTTGAGTTCACACAGAGTTACAGAAATAAATGAATGAAGCTAACCCCAGCTGTGTAGTGCAATCACTTTTATAACAAATCAGGATCACAAGGTGTTAGTTTTAATCTCATCTCAAATGGATGATGGAGTAGTTCTGTAAAGCACCAAAAATGAACCCAAGGTATGAAGATGTGAAAGGAGGAAGGACCAGGGTTTTTGTTTATTTGTTTTTTGTTTTGTTTTTTTGTTTTTGTTTTTGTTTTTGGGTCTTACCATGTAGCCCCAGTTGTCTTGGAACTTGTTATAAAGACTAGGCTAGTCTCAAACTTTTCAGACCAATGTGCTTAGTTAAATGCTTACTGTTGAAAAGGTTTTCTGCTCTGTCCTTCGGCCCATACTTCATAATATTGAAAAAGGGAGACATAGAAATTAGGAAGAGGCTGAGAAAAGCAGCTCTTTCAAGAATTTAGCGGCATTCACTTTCTTAACGTTTAGTGGACCCAATGTATTATGTTGGGTCTTATCTGCTTCCTGCTTCGTTATTTCATATAAAGCTTTCTCTGAAATAAGATGAAACTAATTCAAATTGTGATTTCCATTTCAAGGATTATTACTTCAATAAGGTTATAGCATGAACATCTAAGGTAGATAAATTACTGCTAATCTAGGAGAATAATGAATGACTAGAATTTGGAGGACTAAAAGAAAATGGAATAAACTGCGACCTATGTCTAGTTCTGCAGTTAACACCTGGTGGAGGTGCAGCTTCAGTTCTCTTTGTGTGCATTGTTAGGAAAATCACTGTGATTGGGGGAAAATAGTATTATTAATCACCTTTCAGAATTATAGAGAGGAAAATATCAGTACATCACTGTAAAATTGTCAGAACACATCAAATATTCAGTAACTGCCTTCAAATCACCTGTGAAGTTATAATTACTAATACATATAATGGAGGCTAGCTTCTTATCTGGAAAATTGTACATGATAATTATGTGTAAAATTCACTAAGTACTATATATTCATTTATTTTTATAATTAAAATATTTATTTTTAATTGGCTGTTACCAAGAAATTACATTTATTTATCTAATATTATTGATTATACAATAGCTATTTTCTCCTTTCACTATATTTTTCTAAGATTTTTCTCTGACTTTCATAACATCAACTCTTACAAGCGGCCTTTCAAGATGGATTCCTGAGCCTGCCTTCCCTGCTTCACTAAATTCCAATCAACTTCATCTCAGACTCAAACATAGACTACTTATTTACTGGAGTAAAAGTCTACATTACCTCTTTCTCAAATTTTTCGTTGTCCATCTACTCATAAATTATCTTTCACAGTTGCTCATTTCACAAGAAGAAAAGGAAGAATTGTGCAGGTCCACAATGATATTTCTTCTTTCCATAGTCTGTTGTACTTTTTTGCTTTATGTACATGACCAACTACTGTTATTGAGATTTTGAGTCATTGGGAAAGTAATTTGAGTAATCTAGAAAAATTCAAAACATTGTCTTCCCCTCCAAAATTGTAATAACTGAAAGAAAGTGAAGAATGTTTATTTCAACTTAATTATTATTTGGACAACTTATAGGAAATAAAGTTAGTTCCCTTTATTTTTCATAATTTGCATCTACACATTATGATTAAATAAAATATATGAAAACAAAGGAACATAGAAATCATGTTAAAATTCATAGGCCAAAAGAAACCAGGCATTTAAAAACAATGTTCAGAGTAGAAAGATTGAATAAATTCAATGCTTTAATTTAATAACTAAAAATGCACATGACAAACATTGTACAATTTTATAGACCAACAGAAACTATGCACATTTTTATATTAGGATAGAGAAATTTACTACATTTGATGTCGCATTTTTTTAGGTAATATGAACACATTGATATGAAGTAGATGGAGGTTAGGAATAACGTGACTGAGTTTGTCCTCCTCGGGCTCACACAGAACCCAAAACTTCAGAACATCGTATTTGTTGTGTTTTTGGTCATCTACATCATCTCTGTACTTGGAAATGTGCTTATTGTGGTCACCATCACTAGCAGTCCATTGTTGGGGTGCCCTATGTACTTCTTCTTGGCCTATCTCTCCTTTATTGATGCCTGCTACTCCTCTGTAAGTACCCCTAAATTGATTATAGACTCACTCAGTGAAAAGAAGATCATCCCATTCAATGAATGCATAACCCAAGTCTTTGGAGTACATTTCTTTGGAGGTGCTGAGGTCATTCTACTAACTGTGATGGCTTATGACCGCTATGTGGCCATCTGCAAACCCTTACACTATACAACCATCATGAGACAGCATGTATGTTGCTTGTTAATGGGAGTGTCATGGACAGGAGGCTTTCTTCATGGAATCATACAGATCCTCTTCATTATTGATTTACCTTTCTGTGGCCCTAATGTCATAGATCACTTTATGTGTGATCTAAACCCTTTGCTCAATCTTGTCTGCACTGATACCCATACTCTGGGGCTCTTTGTTGTTGCCAACAGTGGATTCATCTGCCTGTTAAACTTCCTTCTTCTGCTGGGCTCCTACATGGTCATCCTGCGCTCTCTAAGAAACCACAGTGCAGAGGGGAGACACAAAGCCCTCTCCACCTGTGTCTCCCACATCACTGTGGTTGTCTTATATTTTGCCCCTTGTACATTTGTATACATGAGACCTGCAGCTACTTTACCCATTGATAAGACAGTTGCTGTGTTCTACACTATGATAACTCCTGTGTTAAACCCTTTAATCTATACCTTGAGAAATGATCAAATGAAAAGCACTATTATAAAAATGTTTAGTAAGAAAATTCTTGCAGGAGACAAGTAAAGGTATCTAATATTCAACATTTATTCAACATAGGAAAACCTTTATTCTATTATTTTAACAAGCAATTGTTACAAGAAAAAGAAAAAAGTATCTGTCATTTATATATTCTCTACTGAGCTACGTCTAAAGGGATGCAAGCAAAGTGAGAAAATTCAGGACTACTTTGAATATTTGGAAATTTTTAAATCCAGAGGCTTAATTGTATTACCTTTATCCATAAATGTGGATTCGGGGCATTTTCTTATTGAAACTGAATGGTTAAAATTTGTGTTCATTGAGCAGTTTCTACTCTAACACTCTAAAAAGATAAGGGTTACTTACAGCATTATTTTACCTGTAAAGAAAGGGGAAGTTGGCAATAGTCTTTAGCCAGTGCTCAGAGTGTGATGAATTTCTTTAGGTCATTTTATTCCTATTCTATGCTATGTTTATATAATTATACCTGTTCAAAATTGCTAGGGGGAAACAATTGCTCTAGACATAGTATGTATAATGGTTTGTGATATCTACCTAAAAAAAATCTGATTGTTCTTACTTTCTTTGCAATATCATGGAATCTAAGCATTTGAGGGATCTCAAAACACCGAGACACTGAACCACTACATAGCAAGTAAAAAGGGCTCAATGACATTTCTAATTTTCTGGTGGATTTCAGAGCTATATTCTATTACTCCTGTTACTATTCTGATATCATCATAAAATATGGTGACTTAAATACAGGAACACTTATATGTCAGACTACTCTTTACTTATAAATACATTATATGCAAAAACCTATGCTCCATCCAGTATTTGCCTACTAGGTGATAATATTTTCTAGTGGATTAAAGGAAAGACAAAACAAAATTTCACATAGCTATACTAAATAAAATATATAATAGAAATAAAATATTACAGTACATGGAAAGTTCTTCTACCCATATCTGATTCAGAAAGCAAGAAGAATGTTAGGTTGAGCACTAAAGGCAATCACCATTTATCTTTACAGTTACAAATACTGTGGAATGAGAAAGAATTTTAAGTTGATTTTCCAATAATAAAAATTAAGAACTTACCTTGACACTATCTCCCCAAGACTTTCGTTGTTCTATGAATATGGGTTATTTATATTGAAATTTTCCATTATTTCATC